GAAAGAAACGTATCAGTACAAGCCTGTGGTCTATAATCTTATCATCGCCCCCCATATTATTAGTGTTTTCTGCTAGACATGTATAATAGAACTTCTAACATGAGAATACTGTAAAAAATTCCATAGGTAGTTAGGGACAAGAAGAAAAGTAGTAAATAACATAGAAAATGAAGCTACAGCTAGCAGAAACACTCTCAATGCTATGGAATAACAGAAGCAGAAGCAAGTGTGAATCCAATCAGCCATCCATTTTAGTTGATCAATGTGAACTGTGTTAAGAAGGTAGTTAGTGGATTAGTTGAGTAGTTAGCCAGCTGTCCAACAGTTGTAAGTTAAGTTAGTTAGGATTAGTATATAACCGTGTATACTCCTCATTTGTGAGGTATCAGAAATTAATGGAACAGTACAATTTCCATTTCTCTCTTTAGCTTCTTCTGAGAAATCCTCTGCAACCATGGAAGTTCTCTCCATTTAACATGGTATCAGAGCCTGTGAAAACGTTCGATTCACGCGGACTGGTCGAAATTGATTTGAGTTTCTAAACTCGTCAGACATCTGTGTAATTGCTTCGATCCATCCCTTCCTAGGTTGAATCGCCTTTGAGCAATTAGGTATTTTCTTCGTCTTTGTGTACAATTTGCTTGCTGCTACTCTAAGCTCTCGTTTTCTTCATTCTTCAATGGCGATCGGAGGTATTGGTGCTAGCTCAGACACAGGAATTGAAGACACTACCACTGATGCAACTCCAGTGGCAGATCCAAGTCGTGTGGGTGGTATAGTGATCGATCAACATCATCCTCTATTTCTTCAACCTTCTGATTTTCCAGGTAGTTCTCTCATCTCAATCAAACTAACTGGATATGAGAACTATGCTATGTGGAGCAGCTCTATGCGTATTAGTCTATTAGGAAAGAGNAGAGTTTGGTTTGCCAAAGATGTTTCTTATGATCACCTGAGAGTTTTTGGGTGTAAAGCTTGTGTGCATGTTCCTAATGATGAGAGATCGAAATTGGATGTCAAAACTAAGCAGTGCATCTTTATCGGTTATGGTCAAGATGAGTTTGGGTATCATTTTTACGATCCAGTTGACAATAAACTTATTAAAAGTCGCGATGCAATATTCTTTGAAGACCAGACTATTGAAGATATTGACAAAGCTGAGAAGACAGATTCTCAGAGTAATGAGAGCTTAGTTGATGTTGATCCAGTTTTTATCGCTAAGACACCTATTGCACATGAAGGAACCCAAGACAATAATGAAGATAGTGATCAAGATCAAAATGATCATCACGGTGTAGATGTTATGGATGCTCCAGTTGATGAAGTTGTGGTTGATCAACAACTAACTCCTGCTCAGGTAACTACTCCGAATTCTCCTGAAACCTCTCTGAGAAGATCTATAAGGGAGAAGTGAAAATCCATGCGTTATCCTCCTGATGAGTATGTACTTTTGACTGACATGGGAGAACCTGAGAATTATGATGAAGCCATGCAAGATACTCATAAAGATCAGTGGATCGAAGCCATGAAAGATGAGATGAAGTCACTCCATGAAAATGGCACATATGAGTTGGTGAAATTGCCGAAAGGTAAGAAAGCTTTATCTAACAAATGGATATTCAGAATAAGGCAAGATAACATACCTCTGGGCCTAGGTACAAGGCGAGCTTAGTTGTTAAAGGTTTTGGCCAGAAGAAGGGAGTTGACTTTGATAAAATATTCTCCCTGTTGTGAAGATGTCTTCTATTTGTGTGGTTCTAGGCTTAGCCGCAAGTCTAGATTTAGAAGTTGAGCAGATGGATGTCAAAATTGCTTTTCTTCATGGTGATTTAAATGAGGAGATTTATATGGAGCAGCCTGAGGACTTCGTATTTAAGCTTGCAGATAAGCATGCGTTTTGCAGAAAATTGGCAGGCATGAAGCCTGTCAATAGTTCCTCTACTTGAAGACACATTTGGCCCCTTGGCTGGAGGGGAGTTTGTTGGGCACATGCCCATGTTGTCCAGCCAAAGGCCCAATGGCCTAATCCTATTCTCTTTTGGTTTCCATTCTTATTCGGAATTGGATTCGATGTTTATTCCTATTGAGTGAGTTTTGGCTTTAAGAGAAAGCACCACTCATGATCTATAAATAGGACAACTTTGGAGAATTGTTCTATGCTCATTGATACAAGTCTTTGAAAGACTTAAGCACATAAGAGTGGTTTCTGAGAGAGCTTTCATCAAGAGAGAAGAGAGAAGAAAAGTATTTGTTTTCGCTGTAGATTTTTATTCCGACCAACCAATTTCATATCACGTTTTTCGATTCGTTAACCGTTGGATCGGGCTAAAATTTTTACTGAGTGTTCGTAACATCTTGGTCTTTGATTTGAATGATGGAGATCGGATTTAGAGGCCTCGTAACATCTGATTTCGAGCTTCGAACATCAGCTTCATTTTTGTGGATTCTCCTCTTTCTTCAATTGATTAGTCATTGCTGTTGTTGCTATTGTTGCTCCGTGTTTGGCACTTGTTGTGTAGCCAATTTGGAGAACTTTTGTAACCCTCTTATTGTTATAGTGGAGTTTTTTGGATCTTTGTGATCTCGTGATTTTTACCTTCGATTTGAAGGGTTTTTCACGTTAAAATTTGATGTTCTTTATCTTCTTTATTTTCGGGTTTGCCTCTTCCTCGACATAACTTAATGTTCAAAAGGATGTCCTGCATATGCCAAGCTACTTTCGTATTCCCTTTAATCATATTGATCACCACCATGGAGTTACAACTTTACTTACATATATGCTCACTCTAGCTTGTTCGTTGTAAGCCAAAACTCTGAATTCCTTCGTATGCTAATAATCCTTACACTTTTAGGTTCCGTGAACCCCAATAGCTACCTACCTCAACTAACTCAAAATTCTTTATCAACATACATGCAATAATTTCACCATTCATACGAGCTGGGGCGGAGCTATATAGAAGTCCGAGTACGAGTTCGGTCGAACCCAGTAGCTTTATATTTGTGTTAAAAAATTACAAATACTAAATTTGAAACGTAGTTATTAATACTTGAAGTTGTCATTCTAAAATCCAGAATATATAAAGTTGAAATCTTGATTCTGCATCTGTACACCACTTGAACATGGGACCTCTGACCAAGGATGAAAGGATATTATCTATCCCGCCACATCTTTCTTAATCTAACATATAAGTTCCAAATTTAGAAATAATTTCCGAAAATATTTTTGCAAATTTAGCACCACATAAGGTTTATGGTCCCTCGTCAAAGAATTCTTTGTATGATAGTAAAACCTTAAAAGGAAAGTAAGCAAAAACAACCAACAGGTCCAATAAGCAAGCCAACCACCTATCAAAACAATACATGCGGCATGTCCCATGTTCCTCTGTCCCCACCACTTCTTTTTGTGCATATCTTTCTTTCCTACAACTCAAACTCTCTCTCAAGATTGGACTTGCAATTTGCAAATTTCAACTAAAAAGAAACAAACAAATTTTTAATGGAGAAAATTAAGAGAATCTTGATTTTTCTATATATCTTCTCCATCTTTTATGAGATTGAAATTTTAAGGCCATGTCCAAGGCTGCATCAAATTTTGTACCAAATCCAAATTTGATGTAAATTTTGGTATTTTTTTGCTCTAATGGAACACCAAATCTTGCACCATTATAGTGCATGAATAGTGTTGCATCAGATTTGGTGCAACACTATTCATCACACCAAATTTGATTTATTATTATTTTATTTATCTTTTTATTTTTTGAACTTTTAATTTATCATATATTGTGTATATAATTAATTTTTATATTAAGATCTTTATAATTTTTATTTTATATCCTATTTTTTTGATATATTAATTTTTGTATATATTATATTTATATAAAAGTATAAGTTAATTTTATTATTATTATAATTGTATAAAAAGATGCACCTGAATGTCCAGCTCCTACGGTAGAAATGGTAGTAGATGAAGATCACTGATTTGAATAATTTTTAGCTCGACACAAAAAAATTAAGGATAAAGATGCGCATTTCGCACTTCGTAATGCATTAATCGAGCATTTATGGGAGAATAGAGACGAAAGTTGAATATTTATGTAGTACTTAAATTAAATTTGACTATGATGTAATATTTATTTAATTATCATTTATCAATGATTTTACTTTTAGTTGATTTATCCTTTAAAATAATTTTGTAATAAATAATTATATAAGTGGTGAAGGTGAATTATATATAATGAATATGGAAAAAAGAAAAAAGATAGTATTTGTTTGAAGGAAATAAAAAATAAAATTTAAATAGAAGATAATAATATAATATAGAAGAGAGAGAAGAAATATTATTTTTTGGTGTAATAGTTGGAGTAAATTTGGTGTTACACTATTTTGGAGTGAAATTTGGGAGTTAGGGTTGGAGATGGTCTAACGGAATTTTGCAATTATGTTACACGTTAAAAGTATCGGTACTCTACATCCGCCTCTGCCAATAACTACTCCAACCAACTTAACAGTCACGTACGCAACAAACCAACAAAAAACCAACTCATATTACCATCTTTTTTTCCCTCTGCACATGAAATCAGTTATACTTTGCTGAATTCAATTAGCACAATGGATAAGAGAAAGAACCACTTTTTCATCATTCCCAATACTTTACTCAACTAACGTCTTAACAATCACGTACACAACAAAAAAACCCAACTCAGTTCACCTCATCATCAAACAACCATTTCTATACTCAATCTTGATTTCTTCAGATAACATTGTTTTTTTTTCCCTCAATGCAATCACAGAGCCTTCTTCCTATTTCTAACCCCTTTACACCCCCATTAACAATGATCCCAACCAGCTCAGCTGCTGCTGACACATTGTTACTCACATCTCCGGCCAATATGTCTTCCACACTGGTTCTTAATCCTTCTTCATTTGATGATGATTCCAAAACTGAGACCATACCCTTTATTTTTCTTAACATGTTGCGGTACCTCGGGTAAATTTTTCTTCCTTTTGCTCTTATTTTGTTGTTGTATTATTCGTCTCAAGTACTTTCCGTGGGTGTATGTAGTTATTTGTTTTCTTGAACATGCTAAAAGCTTGACCTTTGTTTCTTGTTTCATTGTGTTCAATATTTCTAGTCATGGACATCTAAATTGACATTTATATAGGGGAAAATGGTAAAATTTATCCCTCTACTTTCAAATATTGTCTACATTTAACTTATGTTATACTATCCGGTCAAATTTATCTCTTCCGTTATACTATTAGGTTAAATTTACCCCTACGCTTAGCAAAACTTTTGAAATTACTCCTAGCCCTAACAATAACCCACAATCTTAATTAAATTACCCATTTTCATTTAAAGAATCCATTAGCCCGTACTTAAAGACAAAATGACGTCAAGCTGTAGCTCGAGCTTTGAGTATGTCAAAATGATAGCAAGAGTTGGCAATTTGCTCCAGACATTCTTCAGTTTCCAAAATTTGAAAGAAACGTATCAGTACAAGCCTGTGGTCTATAATCTTATCATCGCCCCCCATATTATTAGTGTTTTCTGCTAGACATGTATAATAGAACTTCTAACATGAGAATACTGTAAAAAATTCCATAGGTAGTTAGGGACAAGAAGAAAAGTAGTAAATAACATAGAAAATGAAGCTACAGCTAGCAGAAACACTCTCAATGCTATGGAATAACAGAAGCAGAAGCAAGTGTGAATCCAATCAGCCATCCATTTTAGTTGATCAATGTGAACTGTGTTAAGAAGGTAGTTAGTGGATTAGTTGAGTAGTTAGCCAGCTGTCCAACAGTTGTAAGTTAAGTTAGTTAGGATTAGTATATAACCGTGTATACTCCTCATTTGTGAGGTATCAGAAATTAATGGAACAGTACAATTTCCATTTCTCTCTTTAGCTTCTTCTGAGAAATCCTCTGCAACCATGGAAGTTCTCTCCATTTAACATGGTATCAGAGCCTGTGAAAACGTTCGATTCACGCGGACTGGTCGAAATTGATTTGAGTTTCTAAACTCGTCAGACATCTGTGTAATTGCTTCGATCCATCCCTTCCTAGGTTGAATCGCCTTTGAGCAATTAGGTATTTTCTTCGTCTTTGTGTACAATTTGCTTGCTGCTACTCTAAGCTCTCGTTTTCTTCATTCTTCAATGGCGATCGGAGGTATTGGTGCTAGCTCAGACACAGGAATTGAAGACACTACCACTGATGCAACTCCAGTGGCAGATCCAAGTCGTGTGGGTGGTATAGTGATCGATCAACATCATCCTCTATTTCTTCAACCTTCTGATTTTCCAGGTAGTTCTCTCATCTCAATCAAACTAACTGGATATGAGAACTATGCTATGTGGAGCAGCTCTATGCGTATTAGTCTATTAGGAAAGAGCAAAATAGGTTTGTTGATGGTAGATACACTAAGGACAAATTTCCTCCTACTTTACATGAATTATGGCAAAAATGTAATGCCATAGTTTTGTCATGGATCATGATCTCAGTTAGTAATGAGTTGTTAAGTGGCATGGTGTATGCAACTAGTGCACAGAAAGTGTGGGCTGATCTTAGGGAAAGCTTTGACAAGGTGAATGGATCTAGAATTCTGTTTTTGCACAGACAAATTGCTACCTTGTCTCAGGCCATTTCCTCTGTGTCAGTGTATTTTTCTAAGCTGAAAGAACTTTGGGAAGAGTTTGATGCATTAATGCCTTGCCTGGATGTGGCTGTGAGGAATCGAAGAGGTATGCAGAACACTTTGGTAACCACGGGTTGCTGTAGTTTCTGATGGGTCTAAATGAGACTTACTCCCAATCTAGTAACCAAATTATGACGAGTCCTACTCCAACTATAAACAAAGCCTATTCTATGATAATAGCAGAAGAAAGTAGAAGATCTGTAGTTAATTTTGCTTAAACCTCTGCACCAAATGAGGGAATAGCTATGTTTAGTGGAAAAGGAAGTTCTCAAGGTTCAAGTAGCTACAAGCCTAAAAGGAACAATTTGTTTTGTGACTACTGCAAATATAAAGGTCACACAAGGGACACTTGCTACAAGCTTCATGGCTATCCTGCAGAATTCAAGCAAAAAAGAAAGGCTGGACCTAATAATGCTGCTCAATACACAGGGCCTCCAACCAATAATGGTCCTAATAGTGGAAGCTTTGAGGCTGCAGCTAGCTTTGCAGGACTTGAGCAGAGTAATCCTGATTCAACTAGTCAGGGTGGTCAAGGAGTGATTGCAGGAGTGCCTCAGTTTACAGTTGATCAGTACAATCAGATCTTGCATCTTTTGGGCAAGTCCAGCATCACATCCTCAAGACAAGGTGATCCATCAAGTAATGCCATGTCAGCAGGTATGACTTCACCTTCTGTAGCTACTGAAGCTGAGGTTAGGTGGATAGTTGATACAGGAGCTTCCAATCACATGGTAAAAAGTCTCAAAGTTTTAGAAGAATCTAGAAATGCTAATGAATCTAGTATTGGAAAGGTTCATCTACCTACAGGAAAGATAGCAAGTGTAAAGCATACAAGGTCTACAAGTGTGCTACACGGACAGAAAATTACAAATGTGTTGCGCATACCTGACTTCAAATATAATCTTTTGTCTGTTTCAAAATTAACAAAGGAACTTAGATGTTTGGCTTTGTTCTATGCTGACTTCTGTCTTTTCCAGGACCTCTTCAATGGGAGAGTGAGGGGGATTGGTAAGGTGGATGAAGGCCTTTACATTTACATATCAGGTAACAAAGACCAAATAAATGGAGGAGGAAATAACAAGTCAGATTCTGGAAGATCTTTTGTAAATACAATAAAGGATGATAGTTCAAGTGTATCTCTATGGCATAGGAGGTTAGGCCATGTGCCAATTGATGTTCTGAGAAAGTTAAAATATTTTCAACATTTAAAGTGTAATAGTGAGACTAATCAATGTACTGTCTGTCCTATTGCTAAGCAAACAAGGCTTCTATTTCCTCTTAGCACTTATGTGGCTACTGCATGTTTTCACTTACTTCATGCTGATGTTTGTGGGCCCTATAGGGTACCAACTCATGATGGGAAGAAGTATTTTCTCACACTAGTAGATGATCATTCCAGGTTTACATGGGTTTTCTTGTTGCCTTCTAAAGCTGAAGTAATTGTTGCCATCAGACAGTTTTTCATTATGATTAAGAATGTTCATTCTTGTACTGTAAAATTCCTAAGAACAGATAATGGGTGTGAGTTCTTTAACTCTCAAATGACAGAATTACTGTAGTCTTTGGGGATTGTTCATCAGAGTTCTTGTGTTTATACTCCACAGCAAAATAAAGTAGCTGAGAGAAGACACAGACACATACTCAATGTGGCCAGGGCACTGAGATTTCAAGCAAGTGTTCCACTGAGATTCTGGGGGAATGTGTATTAACTGCAGTCTACATCATGAACAGACTACTAACACAGGTGTTGCAGGGTAAAACTCCATTTGAACTACTGTTTGGTCATTCTCCTTTCTTAGACCATATGAGAATTTTTGGTTGTCTAGGATATGTAACTGATGTAAAAAGAGGTGACAAATTCTCACCTAGAGCCTCACCTGCAGTTTTTCTTCGCTACTCTATGACTCAAAAGGATACAGAATGTACAACATTCACACCAAGGGGTTCTTAGTAGGTAGAGATGTTATGTTCAAAGAAAATGTATTTCCCTTTCAACATTCAGCTCCTCTACTCTCCTTGTTTCCTACCATTAACATTCCTAAGTCTTAATGCCTAATGATATCCTTATATCCTCTTTTCCACCCTCTTCAATCTCTTCATCTCTTCCTACATCTTCTCCTCTATCTTCTCCTATTTCTACTTCACCTGCTTATCATATCTTAGATCAGCCAACTCAAGTAGTTGTTGAACTTGAACCAGTGTCACCAACTGGTCTCACTCATGATCAGCCTACTCATCAGTTGTCTACCTCAAATGATCAATTGATAGAACCCTCACCTCCTAGAAGATCTGGGAGAACCAGTAAACCTCCCATCTGGCTAAAAGATTATGTTACTCATTCTCAAGGAAAAGCCAATTGTTCTTATCCTCTTTCAGCATGTGTTAGTTATGAGAATATCTCTGACTCCTATGCCAAAGCTCTATCCTCCTACTCTGCAAATGTAGAACCACGGTCATATGCTGAGGCTGTCAAGGATACTAAATGGATTGAAGCTATGAAGGCTGAAATCTCAGCCTTAGAGGAAAATCACACATGGTCTATAATGGAGTTACCTGCTGGAAAGGTTCCTATTGGCTGTAAATGGGTGTTCAAAGTGAAGTATACATCCTCAGGTGAAGTTGAAAGATACATAGCTAGGTTGGTGCCTAAAGGTTACAGTCAAAAGGAAGGGCTTGACTACACTATAACTTTCTCCCCTATAGCAAAAATGGTGACTGTAAGATCAGTCATTGCAGTTGTTGCAGCCAAACATTGGCCTCTTTTCCAAAAGGATGTTCACAATGCCTTCTTGCATGGTGAACTCCTAGAAGAGGTCTACATGGATGTGCCACAAGGGTTTGCAAGCCAGGGAGGGTCTCACAAGGTTTTCAAACTTCATAGATCTCTATATGGCCTGAAACAAGCACCCAGGCAATAGAACAGGAAGCTGACTGATGCCTTAGTGCAGTTGGGCTTCATTCAAAGTCATTTTGACTATTCTCTTCTCACAAAGAAGGTTCAAGCTGAATTGGTTGTTGTAGATGACCTGATAATAAGTGGAAGCAGTCTAGGTCTGATAACTCAGACTAGAAATTATCTGAAGCTCAGGTTCAAAATGAAGGATCTAGGAGAACTTAAGTTCTTTCTGGGAATAGAGGTTGCATGATCAGAAGATGGAATTATTATGAGCCAAAGGAAATATGCTTTGGAGCTGATATCTGAGATGGGACTTGCAGGTGCTAAACCTGCAGGAACACCTCTTGAGACCAATTTGAAGCTTACATCTGTGGAGTATGATACTGCTGTAGGAGCCTCTGAGTGTGAAGACAAACTGATTGAAGATATAGGTGCATATCAAAGACTAGTAGGGAGGCTATTATATCTTACAATGACCAGCATTGATATTGCATTTGCAGTACATACATTAAGTCAATTTATGTACAAGCCTAAGCAGTCTCACTGGGAAGCTGCTCTGAGAGTTGTGAAATATGTCAAAACTTCTCCAGGTCTTGGTTTACTAATGTCTTCAGAAGGCTCAGATAAACTGAAAGCATATTGTGATTCAGACTGAGGTGGATGCTTACAGACTAGGAAATCAGTAACAGGGTACCTAGTTAAGTTTGGGAATGCCTTGATCTCGTGGAAGTCTAAGAAACAAGACACGGTTGCAAGGAGCTTTGCTGAAGCTGAATTCAGAAGTATGGCATCTACAATTGCTGAAATAACCAGGCTCACAGGACTCTTCAAAGAGCTAGAGGTTGATGTGAGTCTACCAGTTGATCTCTTTTGTGACAGCAAGGGTGCGATCTAAATTGCAGCTAATCCCATCTTTCACGAAAGGACTAAACACATAGACATTGACTGTCATTTTGTAGGAGAGAAAATCATACAAGGTGCAGTAAAAACTCATCACATTCCCACAAAAGAGTAGCAAGCTGACCTCCTTACCAAGAGCTTAGGAAGATTGCAACATGATCACTTAGTGTCCAAGCTGGGATTGAAGGATATCTTCAAACCATCAGCTTGAGGGAGGGTGCTAAAAAGGTAGTTAGTGGATTAATTGAGTAGTTAGCCAGCTGTCCAACAATGTAAGGACAGTTGTAAGTTAAGTTAGTTAGGAGTAGTATATAACCGTGTATGCTCTTCATTTGTGGGTATCAGAAATTAATAGAAGAGTACAATTTCCATTTCTCTCTTTAGCTTCATTTGAGAAATCCTCTGCAACCATGGAGGTTCTCTCCATTTAACAAACTGAACACCTTCCTTTAAAGCATAGATCAAATTATATGATATTAGGGAAAATAAAAATAAGAATTTTTAAAAAGGAAAAAAGATAGATGAAATTTCTAAAAGATAACTGATAATTTAAATTAAGATTGTGGGTTATTGTTAGGGCTTGGGTAATTTCTAAAATTTTGCTAATGACAGGGGTAAATTAACAGAAGGGGTAAATTTGGCCGGTAGTATAGCTGATGTTAAATATAGACAATATAAGTAGAATGGCCCTTTTTATAGAGAACCTCTAATATGCCACAAAAGGCAGATTATTGAGCATTAGAATGTAACAAGCGTCAGCTTGCAGTTTGCTATTTAACCAACAATATACTAGTTCTCTAAGGTAGGTTTCTTTTTACAGTGTAGCAGTATACTGTTTGTATACCTTGAGAAACCAACATCAAATTAATTCCTTACATTTGAGGGAACTTGTAAAAGACATATCATGAGGAAGAACATTAGAGCTACATTTTTTATGGATCGGAAAGAAAATTATGAAATAATTTGGTCAGCTAATGTTTGGTTTTGCAAGTCGCTAGTGCATTGTGTTTGTGAGAATTAAGTTGCATGTGGAAAGAGCTTCTAAAACAGAATTATGGAAGGGAGAAGAAAGTATTTTGATTCTATTTAGACAAAAAATGTTAGAAGATTGTTTTTTGGTTAACTCTCATGCTTTGTCCCTTTCTATAAATAGGCTTAAGAACCTTGACAATACAATCTCCTTTCATTATCTAAGGGACAGCTCCATAGATCTCTGTCCACTGTACAAAGGCTGCGAGAAGTTGACTGAATTGATCTTCACTTGAGCTGTTATAGAGATTGGTTCAGGCTACTTTTTAACATGTAAAAGCCCCTAAAAGAGAAAATGCACTCATTAATGCGGAGAGATGATGATTGCTTGGACTTTTTTTTGTGTATTGTTTTTCTTCTCCTTAAGTGGGATGTTTCATTTCTTGTGATTGGAATATTGTTTTGATATTGTACTCTAGATATAGAATGGAAAGGCTATTTGCTGTGTTGGTTTCTCACAATTACGCAAAAGATGAACTTTGAATGAAAGCAGAAATCAAGAATTTCCTAGATATTTTTACCACAAATCTTGATATTATTTACCAAGTATATGTAAAGTTTCTAAATCAATTCTGGTCCTCTATCTTTATTCAGGGTTGGCTACAGATGGATCATCATGTTTCTTGCTCTTGGATGTTATGCTTTCCTACTTATACCCGGTTTTGTTCAAGGTCCGGAACATTTAAGAATATGTTGCTGTTTGAAACACCCCACTTAAGATCTTTAATGATATCGAAAGGACATAATCATCTTTCTGGCATCAGTCTTCTTTCAGATTTTCTGGTCTCGTTATCTTCCCCCTCCCGATTTATGTTTAAAATATAACATCAGTAATAAGTCGTGACTAAGGCATGTCTTTATCTATTGCAGTTGGATATCACTATTTTTCTTCCAGTCAAGTACGTCGAGACATTGTTTATGGTGATCAACCAAGAAATAGGTACATTATCTATTTTAACGCTCGTGCATTTTTATTGGCTATGCACTGCTTGTGTTTGTCTTCATGTATTTATAACTAGGTAACATCTCATGTTGCAGGCTTGATCTATACCTACCGAAAAACAACAATGGGCCAAAGCCAGTTGTTGCATTTGTAACAGGTGGAGCGTGGATCATTGGGTGCGTATTTAAGTCAATTGCTTCTTATTTGTCCTTAAATGCTATGAATAACTTGAATAGTGTTGTTATTTGTGCTTTCTCTTTGGTTCACAGTAACAAAGCTTGGGGTTCTCTTCTAGGTCGACAGTTATCTGAAAGAGACATTATAGTGGCATGCATCGACTACAGGTAATCGCTGTTTCATCTGAGCTAAGTAAAGTGTTACTAATTGGTGACTTGATGTCCTCTCTCTTAATTTGCTTAATGCATGGTGAATATTTTTGTTGTAAAGTATCAAATAAGGAATAAGAATATAAGATGTTCACTGTTTCATATACATTTGTGAGCTACAGAACTGTTGTTTAGACATGAAAAGAGGAGAATCATTGACTACATGATACACAAGTCTTGTTCTTACTTCTAACTGTAGCGCGTTAACTGTTCTCAGAAATTTCCCTCAAGGAACTATTAGTGATATGGTTAAGGATGTTTCTCAAGGAATATCTTTCGTCTGTAACAACATAGCTAAATATGGAGGTGATCCTAACAGGTATAGTCAAGTTCTCTTTCGACTTCCATTTTCTCATGAATTATTTACTTTCATTCAACGTCTTAGTTTTTCGTGATCGACTTGTAGAATTTACTTAATGGGACAATCAGCTGGTGCACATATTGCTGCTTGTGCTCTTTTGGAGCAGGCAATCAATGAAGCTGCCGAGAAAGAGAGAGATTCTTGGAGTGTCTCTCAAATAAAGGCTTATTTTGGTTTATCCGGCGGGTGAGTTCTTGTTCAAGTTCCCATTGCTACATGGCCTGAGTCTTGAACACTTCTTTCTTCAGTTAATTTTTTCAGATAAAGTTCATAGAACTAATAAGATTTCTTCTTCAACACTCGTGGACAGGTATAATCTGTTTAACCTAGTGGATCACTTCCATAGTCGAGGTCTATACCATTCAATTTTTCTAAGGTATTTATTCGCAGTCTTATGGTATTACAATTACGGTCAGACCTCTCTAAAACAGTATCCCTGTATAACATTCATTCACTATGAAAGCCGAGTTTTTCTCGGAACCGATTTTTATGTTATGTTGTTACTATAACATATGCCCTCTGATCTATAACATCACTTCACTATAGCAGCCAAAAAATATCGGAACAAACGAGGTTATTATAGAGAGGTTTGATTGTACTGCTTTCATTCAACAATTATATGGCTTACTGATGCATTTACTTGGCACGTATACAGCATAATGGAAGGGGATCAAGGTCTGGGACGATATTCGCCCGAAGTAATGATACAAGATCCAAACATTAGGAATGCTGTTTCTCTCCTTCCTCCTACTATCCTGTTTCATGGAACTGCAGATTATTCCATTCCTTGTGGCTCCAGGTCTGAACCTCCAGTTTATGCAAATTTTTACTTTTAATTATTGTTAACATCACAGCGGCTGCAGTTACCATTTTATTATATTATACTTAATAGCAATTGAATTGCTTATGTTCAACTTTTTACTTATCTTTTCCTTATCTTTATGCTGATGAAAACGTTGCCAAAAGTGAAAATAGAGTATTTGTAACACGTTTGCTGAGGGTGCTATCCGGACTTCTTTTTTGCAATTTTATGTAGTAATTATTTGCAGATATTCTCAGGAGATCGATTAATATAGTTATTGTTTTCATATACTCGAAAAAATGAAGATTATGCAGATTGCTAACAAGTTTTTCTTATTCCAGCCAAAGTTTTGTCGACACTCTAAGAGCTCTCGGTATCAAAGCTGAATGCATCTTATTAGAAGGAAAGACACATACAGATTTGTTTCTTCAGGTAATTATTGGCTTATTATTATCAATGCCTCTCTTTGTTTCTTTCCAGAGGAAATTTCATGCACGTGCTCTGGACCGATAAATGCCCTTAAATTAGATGCTATCTTTGCTTTGTTTGTGGCCATTGCACCAAGTATTTTTATAGTTTCACCTGAATTTTGTGATAAATGCAGCATTTGCCTATGGTACTGTAGTTCAATAGTTGCAGCAGTTATCTTTCCCTTTCTGTAGGATCCAATGAGAGGCGGTATAGATGATATGTTAGAAGATTTAACTTCGACGATTCATGGCAAAGACTCTGAAACCATCAAAGCAAATGCACCTCCAAGAAAACGCCTTGTTCCTGAATTCATGCTGAAGTTGGCTTGTCGTGTGAGCCCTTTTTAGTTATCGCTATTCTTTTAGATGAATCGTTCCTTATTTCTCTTTAGATCATTGTAACATGCAAATGAGAAGAACAAGAGCTAACTGTTAGACCTTAGAAGTAGTTATTATTTCTAATGTTTTGATCAGTTAAACTTGATTATTTGATTAATTGTTTCGAGTTCTGTTTGAAACAGACTAATAAGAAAAGTATGTCACATAAATTGAAACGGAGAGAGTATTTACGAGCAGGCAAAGGAAAGAACACGAATACGAGTATGAGATTATTTCATTAATAGGAAACCAAAGAGAAGAAAGTACAAGCCAGTGCTTTAATAACTATATCACTCATAAGTTTAAACAGCAGCCATGCATTTCATGATTAGTAACAGATCTGCATGCTATATATATTCTTCATCATACTCTTATAATTACTCGTCCTTCTTCTTAGTTCTTTGCAGCTGACTTGTTACCTGATGCCTAAAAAAAAGAATCAAATTTAAATCAGATTATTTGCAGGAAACCATAATATTCAAAAGGAAAAGTAAAATACTACCTCGGGTAACAGATATTAGTCATCTTGATTACTGACTTTTGTTTCGAAATAATTGACGTTTTAGAAAAACATAGATCATCTCTATTATTTTCTTGTTTCCGGATCTTCCTTTAGTGTTCCAATATTACAACAACAACAACAACAAACCCAGTTTGATCCCAACAGGTGGGATCTGGGGAGGGTAGTCTGTACGCAGACCTTACCCCTACCTAATGCAGGTAGCTAGAGAGGCTGTTTCCAATAGACCCTCGGCTCAGGAAGTGCAAGAAGAAGAGGAGGAAAGCAAGGAAGGAAGAAAGATGGAAGAGAAAAGAAAAGGGAGAGATAAAGCATAAGTAAATCTAAGAATATGACGAGACATGCATGCTACTAAGAGACATGCATGCTACTAATAAGACTATCGGTGAACAACTATAAACTACAAATATTAGTGTTCCAAAATTAGTGGAGTATTAATTGAGACGTAACGCGTAATTTAGACAGATAAAATACAGATAATATGGACAGGAGCGCGATATTAATTGACCTTCTTCTTAGGCTCACGAGGCTTTTTCTGAGCCGATTTGGATGCAGGAGGAGCCTTAGCAGATGCTTTCTTGGCTGGTGCAGATGGTTGAGTTCCAACTGGTTTCTCAGCTTTGAGTGATGCCATTTTTCTCTGTATTAATTCTCTCGTTGAACTAAAGTTAAGAACAAGTAAGATTTTGTACTAATGGCTATGAGTTGCGTCAAACCACTTATATTTATAGCTTTGTTGGCACTGGTAAGATAATGTCATCCTGTGAAATGGGAATAATAATATGAACATATATCAGAAGCCCAATTTGAAAGATGCTGCATCAGATGCTTAGACAAGGCATCTAATTTATTTCATCTATAGAAATTTTTTTTATGGACAAACAGGGCCTTAAGAACAATTGGTAAAGAATTTATGTAATTCTTTTCGATATTTTGGTATAAAATTCGCGGTATGATATACGCTTCTGTCGCGAAGCAATTGGAACTAGAAGAAAGTATGAGGAAAAATTCTGTGTTGAGTTCCAAGTAGTAGGAATATTTGGAATAATATCATCAGTTGGCAAATTACAGATGCTATTTACTCTTATTGGCCTGGTGTGATGGACTGTCTTAATATGAAACCTGCGCCAATGCAAGTTGGCAAAGCATCTTGAGCGATGGCTATTCATTTAAGTCTCGGCGTAGCATCAGTTTGTAGATTTTTGAACAAACCTGCATTATTATCCAGTACATTGTGAATTCCAGATTCATGTGTACAAATATCAAACTCCACCACATTATGATGGAATAAGGATATTTTTATTCAGATCTTATATCCGCATATAGCTAAATTTCAATTAATTTTGAAACTATGACTAATTTTCAATTACCAGTTGTAAATTAAGTCATCATTAATTTATCCCAAAATGATTTACTTATAGGTTAACGTGGGTATTGGCCAAGGAAATCGGGATAAATTCAAAAATAGCCAGATTTACAAGTGGTCATTCAAAAATAGCCACAGTTTCAAAAGTGATCAAAATTTAGCCAATTTTCATGTAAAGATAAATCTTAACGAAAACACTGTTCAAAATCCGGAAAATACTCCAGTATATTATACTGGATCCAGTATAATATACCGGTCCAGCATAATATACTGGAACTTTCCGCATGTTGGAGTTCCATCATAATATGCTAGAAGTTCATACACAGGTGCACCGATCTCCAGCATATTATGCTAGAATTTTTCGTGTTGCAGCAAAATAGTAGCTATTTTTCAATGACTTTACAAATACTGGCTATTTTTGAATGACCAGTCCGAAAACTGGCTAGCCCGTGCTATTTTTACAAGGAAACCCATAAAAGTAACAGCCCAAATTCAACCCATGAGCATTATATTCCCAAACTTGACCTTCTATCCCTATATACTGCTTTGCAGGTTGGTCAATTTGGGAAGACGGGGCTGTGATCCATAGTTTAATCCATCTGTACCGTAAAAATTGCACGGGGCGCCCTATTTAGTCGCCCCCATTTAACCTATACCCATTTTTTTAAAAACTTTTAACCTGTACTCACTTTTTAAACAAATTCAGCCCCTTTCTCCTCCTTTCTCCTCCTTCATTTTCTCGGCAGCCACTCCAACCAACTTCATACCTCCGTGACTGAATTCGCGACTGAAGTTCATTAATAATAGTGCTAACTTTAGACCTTCGTGCCTGAAGTTGAACTTCACTTTGTCCATAGCTGGAGAGCCCATGGAGGGAGAAATACTGCGTATTGGGGTTTCTTTCAAATTTTTGGCATTTTTCTATTGGATGTGAGGGAGAGTTAGCTCGATGAACTAGATATAGAAATTCCAAAGACTTCAGTTTGCAGCATTCCTCTGCGAAATTCGTTGTACCTAGCAGCACTTCTTTCTCTGTCCCTATAAACTGCCATATATCCAAACATAATCAATTAAATGTGTGAAATTATAATTTTGTGATTTTATTGTGGTAAGTTAAGTCTAAAACTTTAGCTCTAGAGCTTAAGTTTCCAGTTACAATACGGAAACTTCAGCTCCAGTTACAACACAAAAACTTCAGCTCTAGAGCTGGCTACTAGAATGCTGAAGTTTTGCGTGATTGCCTTTGCTACTTCAGCCCCGTGTGCTGAAGTTATGCGAAAAAGCGGGTACGCTTGCAATTTTTTTTTTGCAAAGCGGGCACAAGTTAAAATGTGACACAAAAAGCGGGTATAAATGCAAATGCCCTATCTGTACCTGCTCATTCATCCCAAATATATTTAAATAAGGAATTTTTACACAAATAACCCGCCATATTAATTATTTACTTTTTAGTAACATACATAGATTATACATAATTATATACATATAATACATATATATTCACCAACTATTTTTAGTTTAAGTGTTAGGGTGAGCGGCTGTTTCAGTTATTTCTTCTTTTAAAACCGCCCATTTATTTGCTAGATAGTAGTAATAGTGTGGGTAGCCGCTTTGCAGCCCTGTAATTGAAAAATACTAGTAACTTCTATAGAATTTCAAATTTCACAACATGAAAATGGTTATTTTTCATTAGAGGACCGAAAAGTGGCTTATTTATAAATTTTATTCCATTTGCCACCATATGAGTGTCCATTCCTCCTGTCAGTTTTTAAGATTTCTTCTTATTCTCCACTTGGAACTTTTGACAAGTAAGATCTGAAATTTCTATTTTTAATCTTCATATGCTCCATCTATACAAACTTCCATTTATTTATTCTTTTACTACCAAATGCCAGGATACAAAGCCACAAAGCCTTAACTTACCATAAAGTTAAGGCCCAAATATTGGGAAGACATTGCCACAAAGACTACCAGTTTCAGTTTAAATGTAATAAATTAACTTTCTGCTATTCTTGTCCTTCTTATTTCTTTATAGTTTCCAATCACTAGAATGGTCTCACAATCCTAATCCTGTTTCTGAGAGTTCAATTAGTAGCTAAGTGGTTACATGGTTACTGTAATTAATTCTTTTTTACAATATATATATATATATATATAATTGGAAAGTACCTGCCAACTCTTTTTCTTTTCTATATTCTTCTTATTGCTATTATTTAAAAGACAATGCCAAGTAATCATAAGTGTAATTCAATTTGTCTATCAATCTTGTTTATAAATGTTATTCAGGTGAGCACGGAAAATGTTGTGATAGGAATAGTTTTTGAACTAAGGCATGCTGAAACCACAATGTTAGTAGGTGGCAAACTTCCTCTTTTCTTTTTATCAACAATGAAACCCGCTAATTATTATTATTATTATTATTATTATTATTATTATTATTATTATTATTATTATTATGAACTCAAATAAAATTACAAAAAATTTAAATTTAGAAGGATTTTTAAAAAGAAAAAAGAAGGAGGTGACATTATAAATTAATGATGTGTCACTTAGAAATATTTTCCGGATATAAAGCTCTAATCAGAAGGGGAGCCTTGGCGTAACTGGTAATGTTGATGCCATGTGACCAGGAGGTTACGGGTTCGAGCGGAAACAACCTCTTGTAGAAACGCAGGGTAAGGTTGCGTACGATAGACCCTTGTGGTCCGGCCCTTCCTTTTTCTAATCAATCAAGGGGAACATTTATAATTCTTAATTCTATAAGGTTGAATAAAAATTTGATTGACCATTTGATATAATTGCTATGCTTAGTGTGTGACTCGTTGGTTTTTTAGGGTTAGGATTAAAAAAGATCAGCCCACATAGTATGACCCCGCGCATAGCGGGAGCTTAGTGCACCGGGCTGCCCTTTTTATATAAAGCTCTAATCAGACTTAAACCACTACTGCAGACATCAGAGGGCTAATTCAGCTAAATTTGAAAGGTAAAAATGTACTGAATCAATAGATGGCCATGTCATTAATTTGTCCAATATTTACTAGAATTGTGATGGATTGGTCAAGATGAGCTAAGATCATAGCCCAATAATATTTGGCTTAAAGTATGCATATTTGTATGTATATTCCCTCATATTATAGCACTTTTAATCATCTTGTAAGTATTAACTACAACACTTTATGCTTAATATTAAAATTTAACTGTGTAGGAATAAAGCGGTATGAAGATAAAGAGATTTTGAGCAAAATCAAAAAAAATGCGGAAGAAAAGAAGAAAATAAAACAATTCAAAAGAGGGAGAAAAAGGGAGGAAATAGAATTCTTGAATTGGAATTGAAATCGTGAAAAACTTACTGGATTTAGCGCCAGGGCCAGAGCTAGGCGCTGCCCTGGACGCTCGAAGCAGGGACTTGTCCTATTTCGCCCGGAACTTGGTATTTCGGCCCTACACACCCCTAACTCGTATAAAAAGGGTCCTAAACCTATTTTAGAGGGAGAAGACGTTTTTTAGAGTAACTTTTGACGAAGGGAGAGTACAGAGCCGCCGTGGAGGCCGGGTTTCATCTTTTCTTCCACCAAACTTAGTAATTTTATGTTTCTTTGTATGATTTTGTTGTTTGACTACCATGTCTATGTGGAACTAAACTTCACATTCTGGGGTTGTGGTTCTTTCATGAATATTGTTATTCGAATATTGATTTTGATTTCTTGATTTGCCGTATTAGTTTATTTATTCAATCCTGCACTTAATTATTTGATTGCTTGATCACCAATTGAATACTATCTATGAATCTAGAATTGAACTCAAAAGTGGGAATTCTAGATTGCATATAGGAATGAGTAGAGCAAGTTGTTGAACCTGCACATCGGGGAACGGATTCGCGGTTAGGATAGATATATACCTAATTGTCTTGCTTGGTTGATTTACAGGAATTATAAATGCATTCTTGCTAGTTCTAATTCCATAGACATATAGGCATTAGGTTAGCTTGAATAGGCGAGTAAGAACTCACAAGATTTTTATGAGCAATATTAACCCTGTTAACTAATAAACTAGATAAATTAGTAAGTTAATTCAATTGAAAAATACAATAGGAATGTTAGATAGCCCATAACCCTAAATCCTTTTCATCATATTGATAACATTAAAAACTATTCTTCCTTTGTTCAGAGTTTATTATTATTATTATTATTTTTAATTAGATTAGAGTCATATACTGCTAGGTTTAATTCTTGTTTAGATAATTAGGATAGTCTAATTCAGTTAATAGTTAATCACAGGTACTCGTGGGTTCGACATTCGACTTTTAGTCACTTTATTACTTGACGACCGCGTATACTTGCGTGTGCGTTTGGCCGCAACCCCAACCCACCAAATTCTTATTAAGTTTCTAATTTTTTTTGTTTATTTTCTTAAATTTATTAGATAATCAAACAGAACTTTTTTTACCAAGATTATATCTAACATATCAAATCATGCACCTTTATCTTCCAAGATCTTCAATGTTACATCAAAAGTTAATTAAGCCTGCTGGAATAAAATTTGTGGCAAGCCTTGGTTGATGTGAAATGTTGTACTAAAGAAATTTGATACTATTATATTTCTTCTTTTCTCAACTTTCTAAGAAGACATCAAAGTTGGGTTCTACTCATGTCATTCAAGAATAAGATACTTTGCCATATCTTTTTCTATCACATCAATTAGGGAAATAATAACACGATTGAAATTCTTTTAAATCAATAAACATAATAGTAGCAACAAAGACGTTTTTTGAGAAACATTCAACTACAAATAGTTGATGGTAGAACAATAAGTAGATAGTACAATTAACATTTGATAACAGATTTTCTTGTCAAGGTTACTTAATATATTATCTCAATCAGTTTATTTAAGTTGAAGAAAATAATACAAATTTTGTCCTAAAGTCTCACCTCCTATAGTTATTGATGCCACAACCTCAAAGCAACATAAGCCAAAAGCCTATATACCACCAACATAACAACCAAAGCCACCACATCCAATACCAAATTATCAATGCCAAGAACCTTAATAGCTGGAAATTCCACTACTTCACAATATTTGCCAATTCCACACTCATAAAGCTCATTTCTTGAATACTGAACTCCAAGTAGAAGTTTGTAACAATAGTGGCTGAATGAGATGTACTTTAACCAATTAATGAAAATAGGAATGTGTTGAATGTAGTATCCACTGGCTAGTAAAAACACAAGCATTAGGACAGAAGATAATGTTGTGGCTTGTTTCACATCCATTAGTATTGCACCAAGTGCTAGTCCAAGTCCTTGAGAAACTAGTACATTCAACAGGATGATCAAAAGGGTTAGCATAAAAGTGAGAAATGAAGGCTTTAGGCCACCCATCCAATATGTTACTGTCACAAAAATAGTTGGAAGTACTAGCTCCATTGGTAAATCACCCACGGTTCGCGCAAAGTAGTAAGACGAAAGGCGATACATGCCAGATGAACGCTCCCTTATAAGCATTGGCCTCTCTTGTGGGAATGCAAATATGGCATTGAATAGAGGAAAAAATCCCCAGAATATTGAGAAGAAAAATAGTAATCCCACCTGTTGGACACCACCTTGTTAGGAACATTTTTGATAAGTTGTAAGAAGGCAATTAGAATGAGCAGTGTAGTCCATTTTTATGTCACTAAAGATACTTATTTCTTAGATATTTGGAAAATGGTAGTAAAAAATTTAAATTGGGAAAGTTGTACTTAAATTATCTATATAAATGAAGATGTCATTACATAAATACTAAGTATAACTTATTGCTATCTTCAACAACTTCATTTTTGTAAATGAGGCGATCATACAGTTCAATATGATATATGAGCAAGCAAAGGCACTGATTTCGAGGCTCACTGTCACTTATTATAAGAAATTACTCCCTCAGGTTTACAATAAGTGTCCAATTTACTTTTAGCACGCCCATTAAGAAAATACTAAATTCTATACAAAAATACCTACTATGACTAAACTACCCCTAATTAAATATTTAATGTGAGGAGTAAGAAAACTTTTATGGGATATGTACATAGGGGTTATTTTGTAAAAACAAATTGAATTCTTTCTTGATTACATAACTGGACACTTATTTTGAACCAAAATGAAAAAGTAAATTGGACACTTATTGTGAACCGGAGGGAGTAAAGAAATCAGGTCGTCACATGAGAGACGTGTTAAAGACATAACTAAGTAAATAAAAATAAGTTTTTTTTTTTTTTCCTGATATCTAAAACTTTTAGAGAAGATAACACACAAAGTGTAAACAACTTTAGAGGCCACACTAGGAATTTTATCTTGATCCATTACCTGATCCATTATATGGTTAGTATCACAATGCCACCAGAGGAGTCCTGACAGAAATGAAACAGACATGACTTGGAAAATTCTTAGTCCTGAGTAGGCCTCATGCTTTCGTTCTTTAAGTCCTCTACCAAGCAATACTTTAAATTGTAACCACCAACTTGTTGTCCATTGATCTTCAGCACCTGACAAATTATAAAAAATAAAGATATTTTTCGTGATTTCAATCGTCAAATATATTGATAGTGTAAAAATTCTTTACACTAATATAACAGTATATGTATATTAAATCCTAAAAGAAAAGAGATTTAATTTTCGCATACTTCTTGATAGTGGTCGTCCTCCTGAGTGTCTGTAATTTTGGTTCAAATCCTCTTTCAAAGTTGGATAGATATTCTTTCTATAAGAGGTAATTAAGGACTGCTTAATTGCATTTTGATTATCAGATTGATCTGGCTTCACTACAAGTTCATGTTGATCATCGTGTCTTGTATCAGGGGTAATACCTGCATCATTTTCGAAATCATTTTTTTAGTTAAAAATTAGTAGGATAAGCATTAATAGAAGTTCATTTGACAAATCATAAAAGAACAACCTTGTACTGTTAACTATATTATATGCATCTGACCAAAAAAAAAAAAAAACTATATTATATGCACATGAAAAACAAGTATCGTACTGGCAATCTTAAAGTAATTCGCGAATATTTAACTTGTTTTTAAGGAGATTTTTTCACTTGACGACAAAGGACAATGGGACCGAGAAAAGGTAAAAAAGAAAATGATAGGGCATCCTTAATTAAAGGGCTAAATGATAAAATTATCATATGATTAGATACAAATTGTTTCACTTTTGACTGGGATAATTAATTAGCTAAATTAATATAACCATGTAAGATATCTCAATCTTGAAATTTAAGAATCAAAGGATCGGAAGATTTACTGAATAGGAAAAATATTTACTGACTAAGGAATGATATGGCCCGTTAAACATTTAATGAGTGTGTTCAAATATAACAGAAAGCTCAGAATTGGCTGCAATTTTTTGTCAAGTCAAATCTCAACATCATGTTCGATTGTTTTCTTATTTTCAGATTTTCTTTTTCTTTCTGATGTGTTTCTTTGACCTGAAATAATAGAAACAAAAACAATAAAGTAGAAGAAAAAGAAAAGAAACATGTACATAAAAATAAGAAGTACGCGGTGACATAATATTTGAGTAGATAACAACTCACTAAAAACAAAAGTGCCAATTTAACTGTAGGAAACGATTCTGGATTAGATTTACCATATAAGGAAAAAACTTAAGTAATTTTTCCTGACATGACCTAGTTTTTATTTTTTTTTTTTTTTTTTTTTTGAATTACACAACGGTTCTGGTACTTACCCATATATGAGTTAATTTCGCTGTATCGTTCCAATTTTGGTAGCCCTATATGAGCTTGACTCTTGATTTACTTCTAGGGAAAAGGTCACACAAAATAAATTATGGAGTATTCTGGATTTCCACACCACTATAGTGTAGGTCAAATAAATAATGGAGAAATTATATGAGTTCTACCTATTTTGGTGAATACACTTCAAGTAGTACTTTAATTAGACACTAATAAACAAAGGAATAATCAAAAGTAGTAGTAACAAAAAGAAATATTACATACCATTAGCAAGATCAAGCAGAAAATCAGCAGGGTTCATGAAATTGAATCCAGGAGCATAACCAATAGATGTAAAATACTCCATAACATGGCTATTTTTGCCACTGTAAATTGGACAACCTTCTGTTAACACAATAATCTTGTCAAACATTCTGAACAACCTGCTCGAAGGTTGATGTATTGTTGTAATAACCGTCCGACCACCTCGAGCCAACCAACGTAACGTTGCCACGATACGTTGAGCCGTGGTCGAGTCGAGCCCAGAAGTTGGCTCATCAAGTAACAATAAGCTTGGATTTACTAACATTTCTTGTCCAATACTAACTCTCTTTCTTTCTCCCCCTGAAATTCCTCTAAATAATTGGCCACCAATCATACTATTTTTGCACCTTGTTAACCCTAATTCCATGATAACCAACTCTGCCTGCTCTATTTTCTCCTGATTTGTTAACTTATTAGGCAACCTTAATAAAGCAGCATATGTTAGTGTCTCTAGGACAGTTAAATGAGGATATAACACATCATCTTGTGTAACGAAGCCAATTTTTCGTTTCATTGAGCTCGAAAATTGTTGTCCATTGTATGTTATGGTACCGGAGAATTTCCCGGGTAGTCTTCCTGATAAAGCTGTTAGAAGAGTTGTTTTGCCACTTCCAGATGGACCAAGCATGGCTAGAATTTCACCAGGTTTAACTATTCCTGTCACACCTTGGAGTAGCATGCGAGTTTGTTTTTGTTGAGTTGAAGAAAAACAACCTCCCTTGTTGCTTTCCAACTTTATTGTGTATGAAACATCTTCAAACTGCAAATATAAAAAATCATAAAATTAATGAATTACAAAATATATAATCAATAGCAACGATGACACATGACACTAAACTTTTAGGTCAAACGAGAACAAAAGTAATCAGTTCTGTTATACTATCACTGTTATACTATCAGTATATAGAAGTTAAATTTAATAAGTAAGACCAGACGGACTAAATGGTAGCACCTTAAGTGTCACGGGGCGTAGTGATTCACGAAGAACTGATAACTTAGCATGGTTTGATTGTTGTTGATGATCTGGGACTTCATCATTTACACGAGGGCTAACATTACTTGTTGGACCAGTTGGTTCAATTTGAAGTGAAATGCTATCCATTCGGGTACGTACGAGAACGTTACTCGAACCACTATTAATGTTATTCTCTTGATCAGGAGGCAACATTATTGCTAATTACTCTAAAAATTTAAAAGAATGTATTAAATGTTCAAGGATTGATAGAAATGAGGAAGAAGATGAAACGAAATCAAGAGAAAAGGAAAAGAAATGGTAGTGAATGAAAAAAGAGAGTTAAATGGCTTAGCTAGAGAAGAGAAAGAAAGAAATCACATGCAAATGAAGAAAAGAGAAGAGAACTTTAAAGTGAAAATTGCACGAGAAGAAGCAGAGTATGTTTGTGTCATGATATAGAAGTTTAAGTACTAAAGAGGAGAGGGAGTTGTCAATTTGGAAATGTAGGGGTGATGTATTGATTATAATGGATGTCTCTTTCTATAGTTTACTCTTTGTTTAATGTATGTGCTTCTTTATATATCCACGGGATAAAGTTTAATAGTAGATGCTAACAACTTTTTCTTTCTTTACTACTTGCTACTAAAAGAAATTAAATGGTACCTCAGGGAATGAAGTATTCTACGTTCACACAAAATCAAACAACTAATTTCACATCTCGATCACATAACTTATATGTCAAACAAAGCAACTCTACTGTTACTCCAAGGATCGTCTTGTTTACTACTCCGATACAATATTAATATCGTAGCAATTAATTTCAAGGGAAAAAGCTGTAGGTTTGAGTTCTATTTATATATATGTCACGTGTTACTAATTGGTGAATATTAATTATTTATTGAATTTCAGTTTAATGCAATAACAGTATAATTACATATTAATTAAATTAGATTATTAAAAAATAATTGCATGTAACTCTATAATCAAATGACAAGCAATATGGTTACTATGTGAGACAATCTTTAAATATCTCTGCATATTTGCCTGAACAAAAGGAAATTAGAATGTTTTGTTCAAAAGAAGAAGAAGAAGATGAAGGGTCATTTTTCTTGTGTCAAAACGAAATTAAGCCGAAATGAACATAATAGTGTTCATCTTTTAATGCAATAACTCATCTCCCTCCGATCCAAAATAAGTGATTTTTTGGCATTTTTCTTGTGGTCCAAAATAAGTGATTTTTCCAGATTTCAAGAATGAATTAATTATTCTTTTCCTACATTGTCCTTGGAGTAAATTATGTTGGAATATGTGTTAGAAGTGTTTATGTGAGATAGTAAAGGCTAATATGGTCAATTCCATTGCTAATTAATGCTAAAAGGTGGATTTCTTAATCTGTGTGAAAACATTTAAAAAATCACTTATTTTGTACCGGAGGGAGTATATAGGATTGTGCAATTTGTAGCAGAAAGAACAATCTCTTTGATTTTGTCCGAATATTCACATAAGACGGCCATGGCAATTTGTTCCATAGCCAGCCTGGAAAAAAGGAAAGTGCATATTTGTGTAGTTTAGAATTAGAACACCTTTGGTAGATTTTTTTTCTTTTTTTTTTTTTTTTTTTTTTACATCACGTATTTTCACTAACGCAACAAATACATAAAATATGTCTTTATATAAACTGCTATCAATGGTAACTGTATTAGTTAATTAATGGAGTACATATTATTATCTTGTTTTGATCACTCCATAATAAACTAGAAGTATAATTCAGTGTAAATATAGTATGAAGATAAGATAAGTTCAGTTCAAATCTCAATAATGACCCTTTAACTTTGTAGAACAAAATATTTCTACGTAGGCCAACAAATAGATATGTTTATTTATGGGGCCACACAATCTTCAAACTAACTGTTACAGTAAGCCAGCTGCTTTTCCTCAACAAAAATTAAGAAAAAATAAGCAGGAAAAGAAGAAAAAGGAGAAAGTAAAAAAGAAAATCTGTTTCAAAATGATTTCTGCTTTTGGGGTCTTATTTATTTATTTATTTATTTATTACAAAATCATCATTGTCCGCTGGAAGTTTGGTCTTTTTCTTTTTTCTTTTCTATGCAAAGCAAAAAGTAAGATATGTATGACACAAAATTAAAGACCGACTCATTACCGGGAAAAATACCCAAAATCTTAAAGTTGGACTCAGGAAAACTAGAACCAACGTCATAAATTTTCCTTTCTTTTTTTGAGTTTAAGTTATATATAGTTAGTACAAAAAAGATTTACGCTATATTAAGTCACTCAAAGGATATCTACAAATAAGTCTCCTTAAAATATAAGATTTATAAGTTTAACAATAAGCTAAATTATTATCTGCTATAAAAGATAAAAATAATAACTTGATTATTTTCTAATAGTGACGATGTATATAACTTAAACTCTTATCTTTCATTTTTTTTTTTAATGATTGATAGATGAGAGGAGGATAGCTAATTTGGTATCTCCTTTATAGAGTGTCTAAAGAAAAGAAAAAAGCAATGTGGGTACAAGGTTCTTTGATACCTTTTATGTGGCAAATTTCCATTCAATAGGAAAGATAGTGGATGAGATTGCAGTGTCGTGCTTTTATGTAAAAAAGAACCCTTCCTTTGCTTTTTTCTCTTATGAGAATCACAATCTAGTTTGCTGTTGTTTGATCCCTTTTCATTTTTATACAGTAATGCTTTACCAGACTTTGCCAGGCAATAAGATTAGGTTAAAAGGTTTGTAGAAAGGGGAAACAAGAAAACACACACACATGTGTGTGTGAGAGTTATTTTTATTTTTGTTGGCCGCGATACTACCAAAAATTACCTGTTTACCTACGCAAATTACCGACGGACGTCCCTCGGTAACAAGGCTTTACCGATTGTGACGATCCAAAGGGTCATCACCTGTTTTCTCTCTCTTTCCGTATTTCCGAGGCCTTGAAAACCTCATTTTTAGTTTTCTCGATTTGCGTGCGTAGTCCGGGCGAGTAGCCGGAAAGCATGTATGTGAAATTCTGTGAAAAATGCAAAAAAATTTGGTATTAAAATGAGTAAAGTTGACTTTGGTCAACATTTTGGGTAAACGGACCCGGACCCGTGATTGACGGTCCCGGAAGGTCCGTAGAAAAATATGGGACTCGGGCATATGCCCGGAGTCGAATTCCGAGGTCTAGAGCCCGAGAAATGAATTTTTCCGTGGAATTGTTTTTCTGAAATTATTAAGGAAATTGGAAATGAAATTTGATTAAAAGTCGGGCTCGTATTTTGGTTCCGACGCCCGGTACAAGTCTTATATATGGTTTAAGCGCTTTCTGTATAATTTGGTTGAAATTGGACTTCATTTGATGTGTTCCGGACTTGAAATTCTAAATTTGAAAGTTTATGAAGTTTGAAGAAAAACTAGTGATTTTAAGGTTTGATTCCTCGTTCTTGATGTTATTTTGGTGATTTGATCGCACGGTTAAGTTCGTAGGATGTTGTTGAGTTAGTGTATGTGTTTGGTTAGGAGCCCCGAGGGCTCGGGAGTGTTTCGGAGGTGTTCCGGGGTGGTTTTGAACTTAGGAAATGTGCAGGTTTCCTTCAGCTGTTGCAGAACTCAGCTTCTTCTTCGCGTTCGCGAAGTATCTCACGCGTTCGCGAAGCTTCAGCTTCATTCTTCATCGCGTTCGCATTCATTGCTTCGCGTTCGCATAGAGTTATTGAACTCTGAGGGCCCAACCCTCTTTCCTTCTTCGCGTTCGCGATGGCTGGACCGCGTTCGCGTAGGGTCCCAGCTTTTCCTCATCGCGTTCGCGTGTAGGTCCACGCGTTCGCGTAGGCCAACTCCCTGGACCCCAGCCTCTTCCTTCTACGCATTCGCGTTGGCTTCCCGCGTTCGCGATGTTTTGACCAGCCCATCCTTCGCGAACGCGACCTCCATCTGGCGAACGCGAAGGGTAAATTTCGCCAGTTATATTTTAAATTTCAGAACACAGTAGCTACCGGATTCCTTCAAAAATACACGAACTCCTTTCTTCTCCAAGCACTTAGACGTCCATTGAATCCCCCTTTCTTCAAGACCACTTGGGTTAGTAAATTCCAACTTGTTTCTTCATTTTTCATCATTATTTATCCAATTCCTAAGCTTAAATCATGTGATTTAGGGTAGAAATTGGGGGAAATGGGTAGAGTTAGAGTTTTCTATATTTTTTTGATTTAGACCTCGTTTTGGGGTCGAATTTGAAAACAAATTATATAGTCGGGCTCGTGGGTGAATGGGGGATTTGATTTTGGTCCGAACCTCGTGTTTTGACCAAGTGGGCCCGGGGGCAATTTTGGAATCTTTGGGAAGAAAGCTTGGAAATCTATAATTAGGCATTGGGTTTGATTTGTTTAGCATATATTGATATTATAAAGTCCTTATTGTATAGATTTGATTGAGTTGGAGCCGAATTCGAGAGGGAAAGCGGTTGTTGAGGATTGATTTGGCCGTGGAAGTTGAGGTAAGTGTTCGGTCTAACCTTAGCTTTAGGGATTAGAAGTTGAGTCATATTTGCTACGTGCTTCTTGTTGGGTACGACGTATAGGCATGGTGACGAGTATCTATACGTTGGTGTCGAGCATGACCGTGAGTCTTAATTTGATAATTGTGTATTCTTGAACAATGTTATGATTGAAATAGTGAGAAAATCCGTGGTATTGAGTAAAGGCTTAGTTATTTTCGTAGAAGTGCTCGAGGGATGAGAATAATGATAGTAGTGATAATTATAAGTTGAAATGAGATTGGTTATAGCTGATTCTCCCTTGCCGGGACGTTTTTACTTGTGCTGTTGGGTTCCCTTGCCAGGATAGTGTAATTTATGGTTAGTCCCTTGCCCGGATTGTTGTTGTGATCACTGTAAGCTGTGCTTTTGGAACGGGTTGCACGCCGCAACAGTTAATGTATTGGATCGGGTTGCACGCCGCAGCAGATATTGTATTGGGTCGGGTTGCGCGCCGCAACAAATGTTATATTGGATCAGGTTTCACGCCGCAACAGATTATACATGATGGGTCGGGTTGCACGCTGCAACAATTGAAATATGAACATGGATCGGGTTGCGCGCCACAACAGTAGTATTTTTACGTGGTTTGGATACAGTACAGTTCCTTCTTATTTACTTGGTTTTTGTTAAGTTAAATTGTTCCCCCGAAGCATGTACCCCCCCCTCCCTTCTACTGCTTATTGCCGGTTTACTTTTCCGCCATATACTATATATAACTGCACAGGTTTATCTGGAGTCTGGTTCTAGCCTCGTCACTACCACGCCGGGGTTAGGCCAGACACTTACCAGCACATGGGGTCGGTTGTGCTGATGCTACACTTCTGTGCTCTTTTGCACAGATCACGGTGTTGGAGCAGCTTTTGGACAGCAGCAGTAGATTGGGAGTACACCTTCAGTCCAGAGACACCGAGGTAGCCTTGCTTACGTCCGCAGGCCCGGAGTCTCCTCTATCTCTATTTCAGTTTGTTATCCCTTGTACCGAAACAAACAGATTATGACTTCTTTC